GTTGATGTTGACTATGGGTTTGCTGTAAACTGCTTTTATTATGTTGGTATATGTCCCTAGTATCCCTAATCTCTCTAGGACCAAGCATTCAAATCTATGAGCCTATGTGGGCTATTCCTACTGAAACTGCCACAGTCTTTTTCTTTATTGGATTTTTAAGTGCTTTGAATATCAGGGTAACTGCGGTCTCATAAAATGAACTGGGCAACGTTCCTTGTTTCTATTTTGTGGAATAATTTGAAGAGTATTGGCATTAATGTCTCTTTGGAAGTCTAGAATTGTGCTAAAACCATCTGGTCCTGAGCATTTTTTTTGGTTGGAAGACTTAATTAGTACATGAAGATCATTTTAAGATAAAGGAGATCAAGGGGATACAAATACATGTATGTTTTTCTAGGCAGTTTCTCTGTATAGCTCTGGCTGGCCTGGAACTTTGTGGACCAGGCTGGCCTCTGACTTCTGTGTGCTGCGACTAGAGGCAATACAAATTGGAAGGAAAAAGTAAAAGTATCATTCTTTGCAGGTGATATGGTAGTACATATAAGTCATCCTAAAATTCTACTGGGGAAACTCCTATAGCTGATAAACACTTTCAGCAAAGTAGTTGGATACAAAATTAACTCACAAAGATCAGTAGCCCTCTTACATCCAAGTGACAAATGGACTGAGAAATAAATCAAGGAGGTAACACCTTTCACAATAGCCTCAAACAATATAAAATATCTTGCTGCAAACTCTAAGCAAGTAAAAGATTTGTATGATAAAAACTTTAAGACATTGAAGAAACTGAAAAAAATATTCTAAAATGAGAAGGAAGATCTTCCATGTTCATGGATGAGTAGAATTAACAGAAAAAAAGGCCACCCTGCCAAAAGCAATCTACAGACTCAATGCAATCCCATCAAAATTTTAACACAATTCTTTATAGATCTTGGAAGGACTTCAGCTTCATATGGAAGTTAAGTCCAGGATAGCTAAAACAAGCCTGAATAATAAACTACAGGAGGTATCACCATGTCCTATTTCAAGTTATACTACAGAACAATTGTAATAAGAACAGCATGGTATTGGCACAAAAATCAGGCAATGGAATTGAAGACTCAGACATAAATTCGCACACCTATAGGCATCTGATTTTTTTATAAAGAAGTCAGAAAGACACATTGAAAATAGCATCTTCAACAAATGGTGCTGGTCAAACTGGGCTGCTGCATGTAGAAGAATCCAGATAGATCCATCCTTATCCTGCACAAATTCAACTCTAAAGCCTCAACATAAAACCAAATATATTTAACCCGATGGAAGAGAATGTCGGGAATAGCCTTGAACAAATTGATACAGGAGACAACTTTCTGAACAGAACACCTTTAGCTCAGGCATTAAGATCAACAAATGTTTTCAAATTTCATGAAACTGGAAAGCTTCTGCATGGCAAAGGACACTGTCATTGGGACAAAGTAGCAGGCTACAGAATGGAAAAGGGTTTTTTTTTTTTTTTACCAACTACATATCTAATGGAGGGGTAATATCCAAAATATTTAAGGAACTCAAAAGATTAGATATCAAGAAAGCAACCCAATTTAAAAGTGGGGAAATATCTATATAGAGAATTCTTAAAAGAGGATGCTCAAATGACTGAAAAACACTTCATTACACCTGTCAGAATGGCTAAGATCAAACATGGTAAGTCAGAAATACAGATTGAAGAGACAGCATCGTCAACAAATGGCAGTGGTTAAACTGGACAGCTGCGAGTAGATGGATCATGCTGTCAAGGATGTGGAGCAAGGGGAGCAATCCTCCAGTGCTGGTGGGAGTGCAAGCTTGCACACCCACTATGAAAATAGTGTGGCAGGTCCCCAGGAAGACTGGAATGGATCTACCTCAAGATCCAGCCATACCACTCTTGGGCATAGACCCAAAGGACATGTCATCCTCCTACAATGACATTTGATCAACCATGTTCATTGCTGCTCTATTCATAAATAGCCAGAAGTTGGAAATAACCTAGATGTCTCTCAACAGAAAAATGGATAAAGAAAATGTAGTACGTTTATACAATAGAGTATTAAAAAGCCATTAAAAAATGACACAATGAAATTTGTAAGCAAATAGATTGAACTAGAAAATAGAAAGACAATTATGGTATGTATTTACTTATAGGTGATTATTAGCGATTAAGCCAATTTTAACTATGCTATCATCTGTAGAACTATAGAGTTAGGTTAGTAAGGGACTAGGGGGAGAAGAGTATAAGAACCAGAAGGGATAGAGGATCTAAGAAAACAGGATACTCTAAATCAGTGGTTCTCATCCTGTGGGTCTCCACCCTTTTGGGTTTGAAGGATCCTTTAACAGGGGTTGCCTAAGACCATCAGAAAACAGATACTACAATTCATAACAGTAGCAATATTACAGTTATGAAGTAGCAATGAAAATAATTTTGTGGGTGGGGGGTCACAACATGAGGAACTGTATTAAAGGGTTGCAGCATTAGGAAGGTTGAAGATCACCACCTAAATCAACATGATCAAAGCTCATATGAACTCACAGCAGCATGTGGAGGGCCTCATCTCAATCCTGGGAATGTGTCCTCTCTTCCTATGAATTTGGACTTACAGAAACATCCTTTTCTTTTGAGGTGGGCCTTTGAGAGATATTCCTGATTCAAACGGTATCAGCTTTACTGTATTTATTGTAAGCTGTGTTTCAGATAACTCTAGTGGTAGTATGGCATACAAAAAGAAAGAATGGGACTTTGGTAAAATGATATGCAATACCAGTTCTATTATTAACTATGTAGGCAGACGTCCTTGGTATTTATACATAGGTGATTGTATTAAATGGGTTGGGACTAGATGATTAGTCCTTTCAATCCAAAACTGTAAGACTCTTACACATGAGAAAATATGTTTATAGATTGGGTTGTAATTAGATACATAGTGAGTAGTCTTAATTGTATCACTGTCAGGATAAAGCACTTTAACTTTATATACAAGTATTATAAGATACAAAACCAAAAAATCCACATAATCAGTAAAGTTAGAAGTACCAAACAGCAATAACTAGGACTGGAGAGATGGCTTAAAGGTAAAGGCACTGGCTGCTAAGCCCGATGAACTGAGTGGGATTCCTGGAATCCACATGATGAAAGGAGAGGACTGACTCCTGCAAGTTGTCCTCTGGTGCTGTGGCATGCTCCACACCCCCCCCCCCCCACACACACACCACACACACACACATGCACACATGCATGCACACACACACATGTGCACACACACACAATGTAAAAAAAACAATACTTTAAAAATTAAAACGTTTTTATGGTAAATACTACCTTTATTTTAAAAAGTTATACATGCTAGAAAAAAGCATAAATGATACATGTAAACAATTGTTTACCAAATACTTATCTTTTTCCTTGAAAAAGGTGCAAATGATGTTTAAATGTAAACACAAAAGGTGCCGGGGGAGAGGGAGAAGGTAAAGGTTATTCCTTTTAGTTGTGACTAAAGTCTCATTCAAAGGTTTTCCTGCAAAATACACTGAAAGAAAAAAAAATCAGTCTGTGACTATAATGGGGGAGAATCTTAGGCACTAAAATTTTCATTTATTTCCTTAAAATTTTTAACCTTTCATCAGAAAGTGCAACTTAAGAGACAGAGTAACAGTGGCCTTATGAGATGAAAGGGTGATAACCAGCGTAAGGATCCCAGCTCTGTTCACATGCTTCGCTGGCTTGGTGTTCCTTCACATGTACTGCTAATATGAAGATCATTCCTTTGGTGTTACTAAGTAGGGGTCATCTCAGAGTCACCAGGCTGGAACATCCAGTGTAAAGTGAAAAACAGAATTCACTGCTGGAGAAAGGTCACTGCTTCTTGGTGGCAAAGAGGAGACAGGAAAGAAAGCTGCAGGTAGTGAGAGCACAACTCTTACACAGCTACACTTGCCTTCACTGGAATTCTCAAGATGACAACCAATGAGCCTCACACTATTTTTATAAGAGGCACTGAGCAGAGACCTAGGTACATGTGGCAGAAACTATGAAAATATTACAGGGGGAAAAGGGAAAGGGGTAGGAAGAAAGTTCAGCCAGACAGATGTAAACGCCCACCAGTGAGTGCAGACCATAGCATCTGAGTCCTGCTTTTATAGATTTAATATTCTGAATTGTCTTGCTTAGTGCGATGTCTTCTTATTCAGTTTTTCTTTTGCATTTAAAAAATTTCATTTTTTAATTACTTATATTTGATGGGTATATGTGTGTGTTTGTATGTACATGAATGCACTGGAATACAGGTATCTACAGAGGACAAAAGAAAGCCCTGGATAAGCCTAGCTCAGCAGTTTTCAACCTGTGGGTGGTGACCTCTTTGGGGTGGCGGTGGTCAAAGGACCCTTTCACATAGTCTGCATATCAGATGTCCTGCAAATCAGGTGTTTATATCATGATTCATAGCAGTAGCAAAATTACTGTCATGAAGTAGCAACAAAAATAATGTTATGGTTGGGGTCACCGCAACACGAGAACTGTATTCAAGGGTTGCAGCATCAGGAAGGTTGAGAAGCACTGGTCTAGATGGAGTTATACACAGTTGTGAGCTGCCAGATATAAGTGCTGGGAACTGAATTTGAGTCCTCTGCAAAAGCAGCACGCACTCTGACTGAACCATCTCCAGCCCCCTTTACATTTGGAGTGCTCTACTATTTATGCAAAATGGTAATGAGCGCAGACACTAGCATTTTGGCTTCCTCACTGGCAATCTCTGCAGGTGGATAGTATCTAAGAGGAATAACATCAGGTCACACATAGCCCTTCTGCCCTTACTCAGATTTTAAAAATCAACCTAAAACCTACACAGCAAAGAAAATTCTGCAGCTTGGAACTTTTGCCTTTTTCTTTTTTTCCTTTTTTTTTTTCATGGTAGGAAGGATAAGTAAAAAAAAATTAAAAACAACACAACAATAACAACAAGAACCCAAAGGACCCAAACCAACAAAACAAAAACAAAAATCCCCATCAAAACTCCATGATAAATTAAAGCCAAAAATAAATACTCTTCTGCACAGAGCGGAAAGGCATTGTACAAAGGTGGCATTTTGCAGGTGAGTTCCGTCGTTAGACTGGTGTTTCTGAATGTTGAGGCACCGGCAAAGAATAAAATTTGTTCTATTGTTTTCTTGAGCTATACAAAGCGTCGGAGTCAAGGCTCTTCCAAATATAAAGGAGCGTATGCACGATTTCTTTCTGTGTTCACCATATATGAGATTCACAATGTGTCATTTTAATAACTCCTACACCACCTCCTAGCCGACGGTAATTCATTCCTCCGTACAACCTGCAAAGACAAAAACAAAGGCATATTTTTTTCTCTTTCTCTCTCTCTCCTCTCTCTCTCTCTCTCTCTCTCTCTCTCTCTCTCTCTCTTTTGTTGTTTTTCAAGACAGGGTTTCTCTGTGTAGTCCTGGCTGTCCTGGAACTCATGTAGACTAGGTTGGCCTCGAACTCAGAAATCCGCCTGCCTCTGCCTCTCAAGTCCTGGGATTAAAAGCATGCGCCACTGCTGCCCGGCAAGGCATATTTTCAAACTGGAAAAAGCACTGCTCCTTATAAATGGAGGCACCAGTCACAGCATTTTGAGCTTCTTGTAACTCTTCCACAGTCAGCAGCAAATGGAACACAGGCAAGTAGCAGAAGGAAGTCAGACTCACTGAAAAGCTAGGTCAGAGAGGCTGGCCTGCCCTTTTACACTAGAGCTTTGCACCTAGCCAGGCTTCTAAAACACAAAATATTATGTTCCACATTTTTGTGTCTAATTTTATGCCTGGCTATCTATTTTCCCAGACATATTTTCTCCTTGCCTAAAACTTTCTCAATTATTAATTTTTTTTAATTTAATCTTTTATTTATTTATTTACTTAGACTACAGATTTTATTTCCCATAACCCCCGTCCACCCTCCAACTGTTCCACATCCCATATCTCCTCTCTATCCCCGTCTCCACAAGGATGTTCCCACCACCCACTCCCCATCAATTCTTAATTAATGTCTTATTTCTCTTGCTATGATCTTCCTAGGTCCATAGCTGTGGAGGTGCTGGTATTATAGGTATGCACCACTGTACTTGCCTTAATTATTTTTACTTGATTTTTCTATTTGATTTTTGAACTGTTCTCACTCCAGCCCTGCTTGCTTCAAAATCATGCCTCAGCTTCTAAAGGGCTGGGATTGTAGGGAGGAGCACCACACCAAGCTGCTCAGTTTCCCCTTCTGTTCCTCTTTCCTCCCTCCCTCTCTTCCCTCCCTCCTTCCCTCCCTCCTTCCCTCCCTCCATCCCTCCTTCCCTCCCTCCCTCTCTCTCTCTTTTCCTTTCTTTTTGTGTATCTATATACTGTGTGCAAGTGCACATAAGATTGGAGACCAGAGGTCACCCTAGATGTCATTCTTCAGAAGACATCCATTTTGTTTGTTTGTTGAGACAGGGTTTTTGGTGGCCTGGAACCCAACAAGCAGGCTTGGCTGCCTGGCCAGGGACCCCAGGGATCTGCTTTGTCTCTATCTCCCCAGCTTTGCTATTACAGATGTGAGCCACCATGTTTGGCTTTTTATGTGGGTTCTGTGGGTTAAAATCAAGTTTTCATGCTTGCAGAAGCAAGCACTCTACCACCTGCTTTCTTCCCAGCCCATCAGCTATTTGTTTTTATTCCCTTGTCTATACAATACCATTTATATAGTAATACCAGCTATATAGTAACATTTAGTTTGTGGTACATGAACAACATCATCTTCAAAGTTAAAGACTTTCAGGGAAAAAAATACTAGCTCCTCATTCAACAATGAAATAAAATTGATTTGGGATATGGACCAGGTATGGTAATACATACCTGTAGTCACCAAACATGGAAGGATGAGGCAAGATGATTATCTTAGCTTAAAACTAGCCTTGACCTACATAGTACTAGGCCAACCTGGGCTATAGAGGGCTACTTTCTTAAAAAGCAAAACAAACAATCAAAAACCAAACAACAAACAAAACCACCACCACCACCACTACCACCACCACCACCACCACCACCACCACCACCACCAAGCATAGTGCCCCATGCTTGTAATCTCAGCACTCAGGAGACAGAGTAGGATTGCTGTGACTTCCAGGGCAGCCTGGGCTGCAGAGTAAGTTCAAGGTTAGCTTGGCCTATAGTGAAACCCTGCTTCAAACTGCCAAAGCCCAAACCAAAGTTATTAAGTTTGGGATAGGCATAGAACACAGACCTTTAACCTAGCACTTAGGAGGCAGAGACAGGTGGATTTCTGAGTTTGAGGTCAGCTTGGTCTACAGAGTGAGTTCCAGGACAGCCAGGGTTATACAGAGAAACCCTATATCAAAAAATGAAACAAAATAAACAAACAAAAAACCCAAACCAACAAAAAAGTTTTTAGATTATAGATGTACGTATATATTACAGATTACATTATATTATCTATCGATGATTTTTAGGACCTTCATGAATATTGTTCACCACACATTACTAATTTTAATGACAGTTACTGACAAGTCCATATATAAATTATAGTGATTATGAGATAGAAGTAGTTGTAGCTATTTCTTTAATTATGCTTACTCTAAATTCCTCTCTGAAAGAAAATAAGAAAGAAAGAAAGAAAGAAAGGAAGGAAGGAAGGAAGGAAGGAAGGAAGGAAGGAAGGAAGGAAGAAAGAGAACTGTATAAAGAAGTAAACTTTCCATGAGTGAGAGCTTTTCTTTGTGCAAACCTGCTCTTCTCTGTCCTTTACCCATTTAGCGGTTTAGCAAGGCTTCCCTGGCCACTCTTCAGACAGACACACCTCCCTGTCTTCTAATCACATAGCACTTCCATCTAGCATGACTCTACAGTGCCAACACTGGGACTGCAAGGAATCTGTCTTCACTTTTGTTTCCTCAGGGACCAGAACACTCAGGAAATCAGATAAACATCGTCATGAAAAATGTAATGTTGGAGCAAAAAGCTCTATGTTACTGACTTTAGTATTGTGACTACTCAGCTATACACAGAATCCCGAGACAGTTATTTCAATCTCCGTGAGAGGAACTGTAGGGACACTTGTCTAGCATCTGACACCAGGGATCGTGGGATGTGCAGAGTGCTAGAGGGTGAGCCCAGGCTCTCACCCAGTGAGGCATCAACTCTACCACTATGCCCAACCCTGTCCCTGAGAATTTAAAAACAACATAAAATTAAATCTATAAAATGAAGTTTAACATAGTTAACCTCTCAAAAATAAGATGTAGCTTCCTATCTAAAAATGAACTTTAAAATATGGCAGATTTCTAACCAGAAGAATCTATCTTAATATACTTTTAAAAGCTAAAGGAGAAATAAGTTTCAAAATAGTGTTTTGAAAGTAACTACATTTTATTCCTTACAAAGAAAGAAAGCTTCTCGAAGAAACAAGAACTTGTATACGCAGCTGGCTCTGAGTCTAATCATGGCCTAGCTTATTTATGCACACTTTGATTTTCTTGGTGCATTGGTTTCCCCAGCAGGGTATGATGGGATAGAAAGGACACTCTTTGTTGTTTTTCTCACCTCTACTTAATATAAAATGAGATGGTTATTAGAAGAACTTAGGAATAGTTTTATCAGATACTTTAGAACAACCAAGTTAAAATGCATCACCATATCTGGGTTACTTCCACTCCCTTCAGGAAACCACATGAGGATGTTAGTACATTGGGCATCTCTCTTTTGGTGGTCATGATCTTTCTCAAACCCATGACTTCAAGTTAGGAATGAAGACTTGGAAGTCTAAAGGTTACCTCCACGTATTGGCATCTGGGTCAAACACTTCAATGGTCTTCAAGTACGTTGTGCCATCGAAACCCCCTACTGCCATGAGCTGTCCATTGACCACGGCCAGGCCCACCTGTAAGAACAAACAGCAGCACAGTGGATGCTGGAGAACTGAGAAAACCACGGGGAAATGTCACACAGTTTCTAGGTAGATTACTCAAATCTCTTACATTCCAATTTACATGACGTCAGGGAGAAAAAGTAGCAGGAACCATTAAATTAGGCATTTTATTAATATGTACACACAAAGAGTCAGATGCATTTGTAAAATGTAGAAAACCATTCATTCAGTATGAACAAGAACCTCCAAACTACTCTCATTTCTGGTTTGCCCACACTAATCCACTATCTAAACTGCTACTAAAATATTATTAAAAACACAAACATAAACATATAACTCCTGTTCAGAAACTTCTAAGCCTCCATTCTGCCTAAGACAGGTTTTAGGTCTGTAATGTTACTCAGGTTTTCAGAAATCTGGCCTTACCGCCTACATTTCCCCCTCTCCCAATGCTCTCCATGCTCTCATACCACTGGAGTAACTGTTATCTCTGAAACAGTATACAGATTGAGTAACTCATGTGCACTAAGCCCATTCTCCCACATCCTTCCGTCACATACAGCACTCCACAGCACATCATACTGTAGACACTGCAAACATTCCAGTCTCCTTCACCAGACTGAGAGCTCCATGACAAGAATCCTGTAGACATTTTGCCTTCTAAATGAGTGAAAATGTAATCAAATGGACAGTGAGAATAACAAAGATCTATCTGAAAGCCTGTTACTTCTCAGTAATAAATCGAGACACGTAAGTGACTCTTCCACTTGATGGTGCCTTTCAGTGAGACCCCTTGATGTACATGAAACCAGAATTTGTTCCTTTTAATCCTCAGATTAGGGAGTCTCTAGGTGCAGTTTGCTTCTCTTTCTTTGAGTTCTACACTGACAGACTCCTTCCATAATCAATGCTTAATAGGTTAGGTTTCATTGAGACAAACATTCCCGAAGGTGAATTTCATGTTCCATTTTGGACATCTCTTAGTGACCAGTCATCCATTCATGGTTAAGACCATGACAACAGGTTAGCCAGATGTGGCCTACATTATAGATGGGGCAGACCCAAACCATCTTTGGAAGACTTGTAGAAGGGCCAGATATGTTTTATTGTTTGTATCAGTATACAAACTCTACTTGAAGAAATTAGCTAGAAATACCACACAGGAATAGTTAGTGCTATTATATACAGAAGTTAAATAGGGGATAATATAGGAAAGATACCATCCAGAGAAGTAGCTGGTAAAAGATAAATTAAAAAAAAATAGCTTATACAATTATATGTATGAATGGATAGAAAATATTTAGCTACTGGAGTTAAAAGCAATCAAAAGAAATACAAGCTTTTGGGTTTTGTTTTTTTCTCCTGTTTTGCCTTTAAGCATCTTGACAGCTGAGACTGGAAACACAGCACATGGACATCAGCACTTCACCTTGCAGCATCCTAGCACAGTTTACAGTTTAGAGAATTCCTTTTGCACACCCTCTCTCAGTGCTTGCTTGCAAAGCTAAAAGCTCCCAGTAGCTGGCACTTACTCCACTCCTGCGGGATGTCATGGCCACCACGGGAGACCACTGGTTAGTTCTGGGGTTGTATCTCTCAGCACTGCTAAGCTCTGTAGTGTCGTCTCTCCCTCCCACAGCATAGATCATGTCCTGGTACACTGCACAACCTAGGTGTTTCCTTCGGGTCCCCATAGGCGCTATGGTGTGCCATCTGTTTTCCTGAGGATTGTAGCGCTCCACTGCAGTGGAAAGAAAGATCAGTCAGTGAGCACGTACCTGCTTCCTCCTTCAGAGCCACTCAAGCTGCAGTAAATAATCTGACCAGGAACCAGTTTCCTACAGTCATCTTCTGAGGAAAGGGCATGTGTTAACTTCTAGTTGTGGCTACATAACTAATTATATGCACTCTATCTTCTAATAGGGTAGAACTTGATTATGACTTAAAAGAACAGTTTAGTACTAAAAATTTATTGTTATAATTAGAGAGCTTTTATACTTCTATTTCCCTCATATAATTTATTTGATTATTTATTCATGTTTTGCTCTTCTTTTTAGATGGAGTCTTGCTCTGTGGTACTAGTCTAGAACTCACTATGTAGCACAGCCTCAAACTCATGATTCTTCTGTCCTTGTCTCCCAAGTGCTCTCCCATGCCTAGTTTGCCTAGTGTCTTCTGAGCCACTGAAGATACATAACAATGAATCTCATGGTGTGTCACTGACAGTATCCTTAGATAAAAATACCTATTATGTCTAGACCAGTGATTCTCACCCTGTGGTTAATGAGCCCTTTGGGGTGGGGGGGTCACATGTCAGACATTTACATTGTGATTCATAACAGTTATGAAGTAGCAACTAATTGATTTTATAGTTGGGGGGTCACTACAACATGAGGAACTGTATTAAAGGATTGTTGTATTAGGAAGTTTGAGAACCGCTGGTCTAGATAGAAAAGGCAAAGAAGCTTGTAGTTCTAAGGTTTTACTTATTCTTATATTTAAAGAATTCTCTTTTACTGAGGGGAGGTGGTGATTATGGGAGGTAGGGAACTCACTTTTTTATAAAGCAGAGTTTTGTTTTTTAAATTGTGGCCCTATTGTTTTTGTGTTTATTTATTTATCTATTTTATGTCTAAATGTTTTGCCCTCACGTATGCATATGTGTGTGCCTGGTGTCTTCAGTAGAACCCTTGGGGCTGGAGTTACAGACGGCTGTAAGTCACTATGTGGGTGCTAGGAACTGAATAAGAAGTGCTCTTAACCAAGTGCTCTTAACCACTGAGTCATCTCTGCAGCCCCAGACTTTAAAAATCCACTGCAAGTTTCTAGCAGCTTATAAAGTAAATAGAGAAAGAAAACTTTGGGGAACATATTAGAAGTTATGAGTTACATTTTCCTAGAGAGAAAATTAAAACATTTTCTTTAAAAAGATATAGAATACATTTATGAGTATATGAGTAGCACAACTTAGATTCAGTGGTTTACTAAAAAAAAAAAGGAAAGAAAGAAAAAGAGGACAAATGAAATTAGGACTGGATGGGGAGGTGGGGGTGGATCTGAGAGGAGTAGGAGGATGAATATAATAAAATATCGTGCATGAAATTCTTCAAGAATGAATAAAGATGTTATACTGAAAGTTATAGAATAACCTGAGCTTTTGATACTTAGTGCAGAGGGATTCCCCCAAGGAGAATGTGCTGTGTGGACCTCAGACTGATGTTGAGGGACTGACCTGTGTTGAGTGGAGACGTGCCATCAGAGCCACCTACAGCGTATAAGAATCCTCCCAACACAGCCACAGCCACGCCTAGCCTTCTAGTGCTCATAGAAGCCACCCGGGTCCACTTGTTCTCCTTTGGATCATACCTGTAGGGAGGGAAACATATTTTTACTGCCCAAGCAGTGTTTACAGGCCTGAAATCACAAGAGATAGAACGGACACACACATCTGCCATAGCTTGAGAAAAAGGACGCGCGCGCACACACACACACACACACACACACACACACACACACACACACACACAGAGTCATATACATCTACTATTCAGCTTTTAAAAAAAAATTGACATTTGACATTTGACAATATTTGACATTTGTGACAACAGGATGAATATGGGGAGACATTTTGTTAAGAGAAATAAGTCAGACACATGAAGAAAAATACCATTTGATCTTGAAGATGGAATCTAAAATTAGCCTAATTTATAGAAACAAACAATAGAGGACTCTACTCTCAGTGGGCTGGGTGAGGGGTGGGCAGGATCAGAGAGATGCTGATACGTTCAGGAAATCTAAAGTACAGCACAATGAGTGTTATTATGTCATACATTTGAAAATTTGGTGAAAACTGTTTTCACAGAAATTCCCAAAGTATGTAGGGTAATAATCAGCTAATTAGTCTGCCTTAGTCATTCTATGTGGTTTAAATAGTTAAATACATCATGTTCACCACAAATGTACTTTTATCAATTAAAGAATAGATGAGGGGGGCTATAAAATACTAGAAGGAGAGAATCAATCCCATAAAGTCACCTTCTGACCCCTCCCTCTCTCTTACTGTTAATTCTATACCATTAAGGGCTATATGAAAATGCAAAAAGAACTCTGTATGTCCATTAAAAAGAACTGAAAATTACTTTGATTAAAACGAAATCACCTCTCAACTATATTGAGGCAAGAGACACCATCCTGCCCACCCACAGCATAGAGAAAGCCTCCAAGGACTGCCACTCCAACGCTCGTCCTGCAGGTGCTTGTAGGGGCCACATCACTGCTCCACTGGTTTGTTTTGGGGTCATATCTGCAAAGAACACAGTAAGAGTTTATGTTACATGGTAAAGCTTGGCTGTGCTTCTAATATTTCAAACATATAAGCATATGTTTCTATTTAAGGGTTGTTCTTTTCCTCAAACACAGGTTGATTAACAATCAAAGCATATGAATGGGGGCTGAACTGAGGGACTATATGATAGTAACTGTACTGCTACAGACCTACAGCCCTGCCTAATGTATCTTTTAAAATTTATTTTTAATATTTATTTTAAATATGCTTTTCCCTTTAAAAAAAAAGTCAGAATGCTGCAGAATCCCACCTCAATTCTGGTCTTTTACAATTGGGATTTGGCAAATTTCCCTCAAACCTTTGTAATAAAATATTATTCACATCTGCATTATTTAAATGAAAAATGTTTTATTTATATAAATGCCATATGGTACAGTTTTCTCCTTTGATATATTTTGAGATCTCTTTTCATTAATAAAATTGTAGCTTTTTTTCCTTTGAGCTATTTTGTTATATTGTAATATACCATGCACTGTTTGATCTTATTTTTTAAAAAATATATATCTGTATATATATGTATAAATATAAATATATATGTGTATATACATATACATACATACATACATGTGTGTATATGTGCTTATGAGTACAATACCCACAGAGGCCAGGAGAGGTGCTGGAGCTCCTGAACCTGAGGTTAGAGACAGGTGTGAGGGTGAGCATTCTCAGCATGGGTGCAGGAAATTGAGTCACATCCTTCCAGTCCCTTAATCACATTCTTATGGATACATTCTTAGGTTGTTTCTGATACTTTGATAATTAGGAACAGAGTTACATGGCTGAGCATATAGCTCAACAGTAGAGTGCTTATCTAGCATGTGCAAGACCCCTTAACCACTGGAAAAAAAAAAAGCAAAAGCAAAAGACAAAAAGCAAAAGACAACCAAGTTGCTCCCCCTTTGTAGTTCTATCTATTTTTACTTTTTAAATTTTCATTACTTTTTCTTTCCTCCTTGTTTTTCCTTATTTCTCTAGATTTAGTTGCTCTTTATAACTTCTTGATCTAAAAGCACAGTTTTCTTTCTTTTTCCTCTGTGAGACTATGTAGCTTGGTCTCACTATGTAGCTTGGAATGGCCTCAACCTTGTGACCCTCCGCTCTCCTGCTTCAGCCTCCCAAGTGCTGGGATCACAGGCGTGTGCACCTCGCCCACCTCGCTTACTTTCTCTTTTCTTATTTCCAAATGTGTCTAATATATTGTTCATTTTTGTCTCTGTGTACCACCTTAGCTACATTTTAGATATTTTGATATATATATATTGACTTAATTGTTAAGCTACAAGTATTAAGTCATTTGTACTTTATTCAGCACACTGATTGACGTCTAGGTGCCATTCTCCCAGACATTCCTCCCGCCACAATCTATAGAGCTAACCCTTCTGTTCTTGTTTGTCTGGTTTTTTTTTTTTTAAACCTATGCCATATCTAGAACCAATGTTCAGAACTGGATATACAACTTTTACAGACATGCTACGGAACTATGACAATCACTACAGATCAACATCACTACAGATCAACATGACTTAATGAAAGAGAATATGTGGCAACAAGGATCTTAAAAGAAAAAAATCCCTCACTGTAACTTCCAGTTTGTCAGGTACGTTAACAATTGGATAGCACAGTACACACAATCATGCTTAAAATACTTATGAAAGAGCAGAGGAACAAGTAACTCATCTGTGGTCAGAGAAGGCTTTAAGCAGGAAGTAACATTTTAAGTCTTGTAAGCCTTAAGGGGCACAGATATTCCACAGTGGGAAGAACAGTACGCATACATGCAGGGGCGGGAGGAGAAGGAAGACAGTATGCCCAAGGCGCTGCAGGCAGCTTGCTGGATCTGCAGTGGCATGCTTAGAGAATGACTGTGTCCAGTGGGGAAGAGACCAGAGAAACTGGCAAAAATCAGATCATATCTTCTACACCATGCTAAGAAGTCTAGACTGTTAATTGGTATCACAGATGTACCACTAAATTAGTAAGTCACATGTTTCATAATTAATACCTCAAACAAAATCACAGAGACAATAGGGATTTTTTTCAAATTAACCTTACCTTTCAACACTATTGAGATATGAGGATCCATCATGGCCGCCTACTGCATATAGCAGGTCATCAAGAACACTGACCCCGACTCCACATCGCCTTTTACTCATTGAAGCTACCATTCGCCACTCATTGGTCTGGGGATCATAGCGTTCAACACTGGAAATGGCATCTCCACTGCACCAACCACCAACTAGGAGCAACAGAAATAGTTAAGACAACACCTGTCCTGAGGCAGACTGCTAACCTCACTGTGACTCCATGCTCTGACTAACCAAGCGCACGTAGAAGCAAGTCAAGGGCAAGTTACAGTCACCAAAAGTCAGCAAAAGTAACTGAAAAGTATCTTGATCTCGGATCCCAGTCTCCAGAACTATGAGAACACGCATTTCTTTTCTCTGAACTACCCAGTCTACAGCATTCTGTTATGGGAGCCTGGGTAGGCTAATACACAGAGTAAGAGTTAGAATAACTGCCAAGTCAAGTTCCATCATCCTTTCCTAAACGACCACTGGGGGAAAATATGTGGTAATGGCATATAATGATAAATTTGTTTTTCTTTCAAATCATGTCCACTTCAATATAAACAAGAGTGATTCTAAAGCTTTAAAAAACAAAAACAACCAAGGTTATTTTAAGTCTAAAAAACTTTGAATCTACTAGTTTCTACATGGTGTTAAATGATTCCTGAGCCACATTAAAAGTGCAATTAATATTAATCATCTTCTAGACAGACCTAAACATTCACTTTCTTTATTTCAAATCTCAATGTGATATAATTCTACTTTCTTATTAATTCATTTAAATCAGAAGAGTCATCATGTATTAGAGAATAACAAATGTGTGTACAGTAATTTGCTTAAGTGTAAATTCCATAACTGAGCACATACAAGGAATTTCAATATTAAAGAAAACACCTTAAATTCTAAAATGGCCCTACACTGGGGCAACGGTAGCAGTAAAACAGTATGTTTAGGTTGTCTTGAATTCAACCAACTTCAAAAGAGCCTGGAAAGTCTTTTAATATAAGATAATGTTTTTGGCAACTCCATGTAACTCTGAAGTGACTTGCTATGTAGATTTATATAACTTGTACAGCGATTAAAAATGCATGCTACAAACATACATTGTGTGATGGTCTTAGATGGGATTTTCAGAGTACTATTTTAAAGAACAGCACTGTTGACTCACTATGTGACTCTTATGATAGCAAGTATCACAGCAATCTAAATGATGATCCAAATAGTAAGAAGATATTTGGTTTAATCACAGTATACTAAAATTTAAGTCAAGCCTTTATAGGGCATGTGTTATATTATTCCTAAAATTCTAGTACTAGGAAGCTGAAGTGGGAGGATTATGAGTTTAAGGCCGCCTGTACTACATGGAAAATTCCTAGACAGCTTGGGCTACACAATAAAATTCTATCTCAAAAAAAAAACCCACCCAAAACAACAAAAAACAAACAAACAAACAAAAACCTAAATAAAACAAATAAGAAAGGTTGAGACCTGCGAAGAGCACTTCTCCACATCGGATAGGTTTCCGTGGCCTTGTCCTTGGTCCTTGCATTAGTGGTCGTTCTTGAGGCAACAGGAGGTAGTTTTTAGCCTCATCTACCAAGTCTCTGTAGAAAAGAAATGTTGTACTTATTCCAAATGACTGAAAAACAGTCCAAGTCTCTACATGGTGTAAGAAAACAAATGTTGGCAAAAGGAAACAAGCCCAAATCAAACCAAATCCTTGATGCCAGTCAGTACAAAAATTGGCACAAATATGAAAACCATGACACAAATCATATTATGAATTCTGAGTTGACTGGCATTTCTATCCTAACTTCATATCTGAGTGCAAATTTTAAGCTCACCAATCTTAGAGCAGACAATATCTTAACCCTCACCCCCCAGAGTTCTAACTTGATTACCAGCTTACACAGTCACTATTTTCTAATAAGTTTTATTAGGTTCTTCAATATCAGTAAGGACCACGTCAGAAAGGGCTGTAGGTATCTGGGCCAAATAATATTTGAGGTCACTGAATACTAAGGTACTATCTAGTATCATATGAATGGCTTAATGTAACTAGACTACTGGCATGAACAAAAATTTTTCAATGTTCCTTCAAGAGAACAGCCTATAGATTATACATAGTATGGTACTTTGTATATGAATCTTTTTGGTGAGTAGTGCCTGATTAATGTACATTATATTACTCTGTTATACTTCAACTGCAAATGTACACTCAGCTGCTCTAATTTCTTATTACTTACACTACACTGAGTAATGTATCCATACATGACCAGTGCTAGGCATAACCTTAAAATGTATTTTTCTCCTAATTTATTTACCCTACAAACAAAATAAACAGAAAATAAAACAGAAATTAAAAAAAAAAAGTCAAACTAAAGATCAAGAGGTTTTTTCTGGCTCCCTAAACTTGGCAGAATGGTTTCCTCCGTCAGCTTCTCCTCTATCAGGGTACTTGTGGCACAGATAACACTGAGCATCCAACACAAATTAACAGTGACAATACTGCTACCTTCTGGCTTCTGTTTTAAGCTCTTAATATACACATTTATGTAGTTAATAGCCCTGCCAAATAGGTACTGTTTTTATCTTCACTGTACAGATGAAGGAAGGGTAGCACACAGTAAGTGGCTTGCCAAGTGCTAAGGGTAGGGCAGGGTACCAGGAGTCAACTTTGTTCAAAAGTGACTTCACAAGTAGTTTACTTTCCATGTCAGAATCATCAATAATATCTGATTAATGCTTAATTAGGGGAGGGGCAGCCCTGTATTATTTCTTCGTATTTCAGCCTGTATAATTTATATGTTTTCCCTTCCGGTATTCACATAGTTAGGAGAACTGATTGCTAGTGGTCTATTCTGTCCTGCTTTTCATCAATTTAGAAGGTTTTGTTGTTGTTGTTTTGTATTGTATTTAACATTTATTTATGTGTATAAGATTCGAGTGTCACAGCATGAATCTGCAGGAGTTGGTTCCCTTCTACCATGTGGGATTTTGGATTGAACGAAAGCTGCCAGGCACGGTGGCAAGCTACTTCATCCACTGAGCCATCTTACTACCACTCCTCATCCGAACACACACTTTTTCACATTTAAAAGACAAATATAATCCCAAATGTTGCACTTCCATTGAAGGCAAGCTTGAGGTCACAGAAGAAAATGCAGTGGATTTATATCCCTACCTATATACTAGAATGTGGGATAATTCCAACTTTTTTATTATCAAGAGGAGGCACAAAGGACAGTGTAATTCCAGTAGTTCTGAGTATCGACTAGAACTGACTCTCTAACTTATATATTTTACTTATAGTATATTTAGAATATACTAGTTGATGGGAAGGTCATTAAAATGCCAAAAGGTTTCAGATTTGAAAACAAATCTTAGTTGGGCAGTGGTGGCATTCGCCTTTAATCTCAGCAAGAAAAGAGTAAAGCGGCCAGCTTTCCTCTAAATACTGTTGAGAAATGCTTTCATTTAGCTCTATCAGTGGCCTGCCAGTGCTCCTGTGGGAGGGCAGGGCTTCAACTCTGTTTACAATCTTCAAAGTAAAACTACCCTGTTCCTCAGTGAGACATTGTGTATCAGTGAGAAAGGCTCATTAACAGACACACAGTCTTATTTAATTTATTCCCAGAAAAATAATCATAGAGGATTAACTCTGCAAAGGGAAACTTGCATCAAAACTTAGAAATCTACTTTATGCCACTTCTACTCCAATAACCACGACACATTAAAAAATAACCAGGAAAACTCCTAGTAGAACAACATACTGGAAATTCAGTCCTCTCGTTCTCCTCTTGACCCTAGCCCACAAGAAAACCCTGGTTTTGGCATATGAAATACAATATTTTAGAAGCAATACCAGTAAGCAGAGTAGTGGAACACAGGAATGCTTAGTTGCTGGTTTTCCTCACCCTCTCATACCTGCATTCTTCATCACTTTTAATGAGGGGGTCAGAGCCTACGGTGCCCACCAGGAACTTGGGACTAAGCAAAGGCAGGCGAACATGTTGCAGCACCTACGAGATAATAAATACAATCAAGGCATGAGCTCCCATTACAATTTGTTGGGAGAGTAATGACTCATGCTTCCTGACTTGTGGAGTCAAGTGTTTGGGGATCTATCTGGACATAAAGGAAGGTGGAAAGCATAAAGAGTAAATCTAAAATGTATTCTATCGATTCTATACTGTAGACTGGTTACAAAACTAAAGCATGCTCCTATCACTTTCCAGTGCTACTTTTAGCTTACAACGTTATGAGCTCCTCTATAATTGGACTCAAGTTCATTGACTAGTATATCCTGTTAGACTGCTAAAGAATATACTTTCTAGGGCTAGAGACGTGGTTTAGCAGTTACAAGTACTTGTGGGCCGTGCAGAGGACCTGGTCATAACTCCTAGCATCCACATGACAGCTCACAACTGTCTGTAACTCCAGTCCCAGGGAATCCAAAGCCCTATTCTGACCTTTATGGGCACCAGGCACACATGTGATGTACATACATACATACAAGCAGGCAAACATTCATACATAGAAAATAATAAAATAAATAAATATAAACAAAATACTTCCCCCTTATCTTCAGTTTTGCTTTTTGTGTTGTCAGTTATTGGTCATCAACTTTAGTCAGACAATAAATGAAAATTTTCAGAAATAAAAATAAGTAAGTCCCAAGTAACGTTTACTACAGTATAGTACTATAAAAATTCTGCTTATAATTAATTACTGTTAATCATTACTGGACCTAATTTGTAAATAAACTTTATCACAGAATATATATACTGAAAAAAACATAGTACATAGAGGGGTTTTAGGCATCTCTTAGGTGTCTTGGAATGCATCTCCTCTGGATAAGGAGACAATTTACAGCTATGACCAGAATGATCTTAAACACGTCACTTAGTGACCACTCAGCCTCAGTTCATCCTGTTCAAAGTGTGGTAGGACTTCCAAGCTATGGGAGCAGACGCACTCTTGTTTTCTTTTGTGATCTTATATGATTTCTAAATTGTGTAACAGTTCAAACAGAATAAGTTCACAACAATAAGCAATCACATGTAAGTCAAAGGTTTATAAGGAGAGTCACGACCTGTTTTGTTTCTGCAAGACAGTGCCTACTTTTTCTTCTGGTAAAAAGGATTTCTTAGAGAAGCATTTCGCCTCTTACCTGGGGTAACTGAGGACGTCTTTCCTGAATACTGTATTTGACCCAGGCCATCACCGCATTGAACACTTGCTCTTCACTCCGAACATTGAGCTCATCACTAGATATTATATCAATGAGTTGGTTGGCCGGAAGTAACATGAATTCTTCACTCTCCATTACCTGCTCAGATTTAGGTAACAAAAAAAGAGACAAACCTATAAGCACAGTTTTTGCCTCTATATGGTATTTTTTTTTCTTTAGTCACAGAGCAATATTATATACCACAATGAAGTTGGTACTTAAAACAAGGAGAAAAAAAAAACAGTTCCAAAGGGGAACAAAGAATAGAAAATAAACAAACAGCTTCCAAAACTTATCATTATTTAGTTTAAATGTTTCCCCTTTAAAAATTAATGAATAAAATAAAAATTCATATTCAAAATAAGCTGAATAACCATACTAAATTAAAGTTTCAGAATAATAAGAGACATCTAGAATGCCAGGAAAAGCTTCCAGAAGGAGGTTAGTTGAAATATCTTGGTCTCAGCTTCCAAAAAGAATGAAGATATATTAATTCTGCAAGCATGAATATAATGAAGAAAAAGTAAGACCAAGTGCAACTTTTAAGGACCAAATTATTATAATATTTCAGTGAGAAATTACGAATACACCCATGCTTACTTTTACCCAAGTCTAGAGAACTGTCAGAATGCAGATGACACAGCAACTAAGCTATTAAACAGGCCAACCATGGAAGTTAAGGTCTTGAAAGTCTGTTTGTCATGATGTAGCGGGCAGGGAGAAAGCAGCTATTGCTACCCTCTAAGTGGTTTCTCTGTTACACGACATGTGATGTCTGCACAGGCAGGATATTGTTAAAAGTTCAGACTCTGTGGTGTTGTCTTTAATGAGCACAATAGATTATTTTTGGGACAGGGCTATTATTCTTGTTTATCAAAAAGCAGGATATGATAGGGTTTAATAATATTTTAAACATTTGATTAAGAATGTTTTCTTCAAAAATAACAAGGAAAATACAAATCACAAAATTAAGCAGTCAGAGGCTGTAGTAATTACCTTTTCATAACAAAGATTTAAATTATCTGACTTTCTAGGGTCCAATATAGTCAAAACGTAGCCTTTACACTTAGTAACTAGTTAGCCAGATAACTAGTAACGAACATGGCTACATTTCACTTTCTGTGGCAGGGTTGACAGATTTAGAGCAGGGGTATACCATAAACCAGGACCTATGTACACATCAAATAATGTGCCATGGAATTTATATAACTGGGAGCAATGTATTTTATGTGGGTACTGTGGTTCTACAATGTCTAGAGGCAACATCGGGCCTAGTTCTAGTAAGAGTTCTGCCCTTCGTGGCCTACAAAACTCCAGGGATGGTTGTATCTGACTGCTTACCTATGTAGTTCCCCGTTTCATCGTTTAAGTACAATTTTGGTATTGTGTATCTTTAAGAAGGCCTTAACATTCTTTCAAAATTTCATCAGAAGATAATTCCCCCCCCCCTAATACACAGATTAAAAAACAAATATTACCAGGCTGGGGGATACAGCCCAGTGATAAAAGCCTTGCTTATCATCTGCAAGGCCCTGCCTGGGTTCTTCTATGCCCAGCACTACAAACCACCACAAAGTCTACAATGAGATTTCCTCTTGCCATGGTCAGAAAGGCTATAATGAAGAAAACAAGCAAAATTAAATGCTAGAAAAAAATGAGGGTAGGAAAGACCTCTTATGCATAGTTACTAAGAACGTACATTAACTTATCTGTTATGGAAACTGGTATGCAAGTTCTTGGAAATAAAGAGAACATCTGCTGCATGACTTAGATACATAATCAAAGGGATTGGTCGGGGGCAGCAACACCTCCACACTCATCGTCACTGCAGCACTACTCAGAGCAGCCGAGTTAGTGACTCAGTCTATCTGTCCATTAATGGGCAAACGAAGAAAACACGGTATACACAATGGAATTTTTTTTTTTTTTTGGTTATAAAGCACAAAACTAGCTGTCCACAATGGTTTATGCCAGGAATCTCAGCACTTGGGAGGCTGAAGCACGACTGCTGTCAGTTCACTCTCAACTTGGGTTCCTTACTAATCTGATTCTTTTCTAGTTCCAAAACGCTTGTATTTACTTATGGCCAATGACCTTAATATTAGTTTTAAGAAACTTCCTGGTCATACAATATACATATTGGTAGTAAATATATGCAATATATGTTAAGCCCTCTTTTGAAAAGTGTATGAGTGTGTTTTGCCTGCATGCATGTGTGTATATTATGTGCATACCTCGTGTCTATGGAGGTCAGGGGGTATCAGATCCCTGTGGCTGCAGTTATAAATAGTTGTGAGCTATCATGTAGGTGCTGGGAATTGTACCTAAGTCTACCAGAGCAACCAGTGCTCTTAAGTGCTGACCCAATGCTGCAGCTCTCTGAAAGTCTTCTTAAAAGAAACTCTGTACTTCTGACCCAGTATCCTTTGCTGGTCACCCATTTGCTAACCACCCTTCAGTACAGGGAAGGCTGCAAGGCTCTCCCTTCACTCAGGGGCTCTCACTGGTATAGATTATTTGACCACATTTAATAAGCTGTTTTAAATAGTAAAAAGTTTCAAACATTTATAAAGCTGAACCTGCCAATTTCTTTCTTTATGGCTTTTAGGTTACATCTCACTTAAAAGGACTAGACCACAGCTTACTTACAGTGTTGAACTAAATTTTAATCTCAGCCTAACCTCAAGGAGTAGAAAGCCATAGAAAGAGTTGCCTGTTCAATACTGAACACAGAACTCCAACATATGTTCTCAAATTCTTCTACTCACCAGTATGTATAAATTCCAGAGAATGCTGAGTTTAAAAGTGGATGTAAGGAGTAATTTTGAAGCCAAGTGGTGGTGGCACATGCCTTTAATCCCAGCACTGGGGAGGAAAAGGTGGGCAGATCTTTATGAGTTCAAAGCCACCAAAACCAAAAAAAGTAATTTTGATAGAGTTTGTTAAATTCCCCCATGCCATTCACACCAGCAATGTGTCTATGTGTCCATAGCCTCGCCAAGAGGGTATATGATTACATTTAAGATGATCTGTAACCTGAAAGTGGTTCTTTGACCAGGTATGGCGCATGTGTTCATAATCCTAGCATTTAACGGGCTGAGGATCAATGGTGTTGAGTTCAAGGCCAACTTGGGCAAAGCTGGAGGGAAAAAGTACTTTAGTGTTAATTTGTCTTTCTGTTATTTTGAACAAACAAATAGACTTTCAGATATTATAAGACGATTTGAATTTCTCTATATGTGTGTACTATCTAGCTTTCTGCTACTCAAGGGTGGGATCTACTGGTACTCTTGATGTATTAAGTACATTAACCTTTTGATACTGAAACAAGTTGCAAATATTTTCCTCAATTTATATTTGGATTTTGTCTTAGTACTACAGAAAAATTCTGAATGTGACAAAATTAATGATTGTAATGTTTAGCCTTTCTAGATGAGTCACTCAGAAATGCTTCTTCATTTCAAGGCCATAAAGGCATTGTTTAATGTTACTGTCTCATGTCATTTTGAGTAAGTGAAAAATAGTGAGTTTAATGAAAATTCTTTTTGTTTTTATTTTATTAGATATTTTCTTTATTTACATTTCAAATGTTATCCCCTTTCTCGATTGTCCCCCACCAAGTCCCCTATCCCATTCCTCCTCCCCTGATTCTATGAGGGTGTTCCCCCACCCACCCATCCACTTCCGCCTCCCCCTGCCCTTGAATTCCCCTACAAAAGTTCTTTTGGTACACCTTGAATACTTGGGCACAGGGGAAAGTTCCTGAACAGAACACCAATAGCTTATGCTCTAAGATCAAGAATTAACAAATGGGACCATATAAAATTGCAAAGTTTCTGTAAGGCAAAGGACACTGTCAATAGGACAAAACGGCAACCAACAGATTGGGAAAAGATCTTTACCAATCCTACATCTGATAGAGGGCTAATATCCAATATATACAAAGAGCTCAAGAAATTAGACTCCAGACAACCAAATAACCCTATTAAAAATGGGGTACAGAGGTAAAAAATTCTCAACTGAGGAAACTCAAATGGCTGAGAAGCACCTAAAGAAATGTTCAACATCCTTAGTCATCAGGGAAATACAAATCAAAACAACCCTGAGATTCTACCTCACACCAGTCAGAATGGCTAAGATCAAAAACTCAGGTGATAGTAGATGTTAGTGAGGATGTGGAGAAACAGGAACACTCCTCCATTGTTGGTGGGATTGCAAGACAGTGCAACCACTTTGGAAATCAGTCTGGTGGTTCCTCAGAAAATTGGACATAGCATTACCTGAGGATCCAGCTATACCACTCCTGGGCATATACCCAGAAGATGCTCCAACATATAACAAGTACATATGCTCAACTATGTTCATAGCAGCCTTATTTATAATAGCCAGGAACTGGAAAGAACCCAGATGTCCTTCAACTGAGGAATGGATACAGAAAATGTGGTACATTTACACAACGGAGTACTACTCAGCTATTAAAAACAATGAATTCAAGAAATTCTTAGGTAAATGGATGAAACTAGAAAATATCATGCTGAGTGAGGTAACCCAACCACAAAAGAACACACATGGTATTCACTCACTGATAATTGGATATTAGCTTAGCCCAGAAACTTGAAATACCCAAGATTCAACTCACAGGCCACATGAAGCTCATGAAGAAGGAAAACCAAGTGGGGGAACTTTGGTCCTTCTTAGAAGGAGTAACAAAATACTCAAGGGAGCAAATATGGAGACAAAGTGTGGGACAGAAACTGAAGAAGGAGCTGTCTGGAGACCATTCCACCTTGGTATCCATCCCATGAGCAGTCACCAAAGGTAGATGCTGATGTAGATGTCAGGAAGTGGATGCTGACAGGAGCCTGATATAGATGTCTCCTTAGAGGTCGGCAAGAGTCTGACATTCTCAGAGGCAGATGCTCACAGCTAACCATTGAACTGATCATGGGGTTCCCAATGGAGGAGTTAGAGTGAAGACTCAAGGAGCTGAAAGGGTTTGTGGCCCCATGAGGAGAGCAACAATACCAACCAACCAGAGCTCCCAGGGTCTAAACTAGCAGCCTGAAGCACGTAGGGAGGGACCCATCGCTCCAGCTGTATATGTAGGGGAGGATGGCCTTGTTGGGCATAGGTAGGAGAGGAGATCCTTGGTCCCATGAAGGCTGGATGCTGAGTGTGGGGGAATTTGAGGGTGGGGAGGTGGGTGTGGGGGGTAGGTGGGGGCACATCTTCATAGAAGCAGGAGGAGGGGGGATGGAATAGGGGGTTTCTAGGTGAGGGGATGGGGTAGGGGATAACATCTGAAATGTAAATAAAATATCCAATAAAAAATTTAAAAAAAACCAAAAACCAAAAAATTCTTTTGGTATTATTTAAACTTGTTTTTTCTTAACTATTAGTTTACCAAGTACTATTGTGCATAACTTATCCTGTTAAATAATCCATCTAATCAGGAAGGACATGCTGTAGGAAATCACTTCTATGGTGCAACGTCCTCATGCCTAAATAAACCATGTTTTGGTTTAATTATCATTATTATAATTATTATTAAGAGCTCTTCAGGAAGATGAATAGAAAAAAACAACTTTTGCTGGTAGCTATAAAACTGGCCTTTAAAACTCACTAACAGGCTTAGAATTTATAGCAACCTATTTATTTGATACACGGCAGGTATTAGGAGAACATAAATCCATATGATTCCCTTAAATTAAAAAGCATTTACCACTACTACCACTACTACATGTGTGTGTGCATGCTATGACATGAGTGTGGAGGTCAGAGGACAATATTCTGGGGATGGAACTCGGGTTTACCAACTGAATTACCTCACTGGTGCCCTACTTTTACCAAATAAGTTATAAATATATTCAAACCACTTAGTACAACTTGTGTGTGTATGTGTGTGGTGTGTATGTGTGCAAGTTGCATGTGCACATGTACATGTGTGAGCATATGTGCATGTACACACGTGTATGTGGTACACTTTCCCCATGCATGTTTGTGTACAGGCCAAAGGTCAATGTTGGGTTTCTTCTTCTATCATTCTTTACCTATTTTTTTTTTTTTTGAAGACAGACAAGATTCTTTATTGAGCCTAAAACTATTACGGGTAGATTGGCTGGTCAGCAAGCCCCAGGATCTTGCTGTCTTTGCTGCGGTTACAGATGTCATGCCAGGGTCCTATAACTGGTTGGCAGGAACTGAACTCAGGTTTTTGTACTTGAATGACAAGCACTTTACCCAATGAGCTATATCCCTAGCCCACGACTCACCTCTTGAAAGTTATGTTGGGTGAACTTGTCTGCAATCCTTAGCAACTCTCGGCAAGAATGTGTATCAGCGAAAGCCCGAATGCCCAGACAATTAGAAGGATCTAACTGTCTCTTTAAGAATTCACAGCAGGCTTCCTGTATTTCTGCCAGCTGGAGGAGGCAAGCAGCAGGCAAGAGGGTCTGGACATTGCCCTCTTCCACGGTTATCTGGGAGGTATACGCAAAGTCAATCAGCAGCTCCATGGCCCTCTCATCTATGTCTCGGATCACTACTTCTGTTTGCCGGCTTTCTGCCAGCTCTCCTGTAAACATTGCTCGGAAGTAGGGGCTGCAGGCTGACAGAATGACGCGGTGGGCATATATCTTCTTAGCGCCCACAACTAGCACCACATCACATAGCTCCCGGTGCTTTCTCAGAAGGTTGATCACTTCCAAGGTTTGCCGAGGGTGCTTATCTGAGATATAGGGCATTCGAGCAGGTTGGGGAACCCCTTCTGGCAGTTTGTTGGGGTCTCCAAGGGTGCAGCGGCTTGTTACATCCATTCCAGTCTCTCCTGGTCGAATGTTGGTACACCTACAGAGATGACAGGATGAAGAGAGATGGAAATGTTATTACTTCTCTTATTGCTCTAAAGCGTTCATAAGAGATAAGAAAACATGAAATTACCAGGGGTTCTGGGAGGGTTCCTGGGGCTTTGTGGCTTGATTTATAAGGGTGGAAATTTCTTTATAGAATGCTGGGAATTCTGGCTCCATGTCCAAATAGAGGAAGGCCTTATGTAGAGGAGATGCTGCCCCAGTTTTGAGTTGTGTCTAACCAGCTCATCTGTGAGCAGAGTCCTCCCTGACTTTGAGTTCATTCACCCTCTTATCTCTTGTGGCATCAGGACACAGTTTCTTCCATGGGGCACTCTCATTGAAAGTTCTCTCTAATATGAACCCATGGTTTTAAATGTCAGAGCTTATTTCCAAATATCATGTTCTTTTTGAAGACAGTTTAGATTTAATTTTACAGCAAACGTGGTAGTGAATGACAGAGGTTCATGTGGGGAAACAATCTGAGGACCACTAGCAATGAAAAACTCAACATCTAGAGCTAAATTCTGGGGTCAAACTGGGATGTTAGCTGGGAACACTTGTTCTTTTGCTGGATTATCCAAATGTTCTTCTTTGGTCCTAAGTAGAGGAATGAAGCTATACATCTGGATGACTATGGCACCTTGATAACCTCGATACCAACCACAAGAGGACGGCACTGCCTCTTTGAAGTTGAAGAGCTGCCTATGGGTACTAGCTTTATTTTTTCAAGACAAGGTTTCTCTGTGCAGCTGTCCTGGAACTCGCTTTGTAGATCAGTCTGGCCTTGAACTCAGAGATCCACCTTCCTTTGCCTCCCAAGTGCTGAGATTAAAGGTGTATACCATTGCCAGCTTGTTTTTCATATTTTAAAATGAATTTGCCCTTTTTTATTTGTTTACTAACTCTGCATGTGCTTAAAAAGGACATGAATGGTATGTACTCACTGATTAGTCGATATTGGCCTAAAAAGTACAGAATACCTAGGATACAATCCACAGAACTCAAGAAGGTTAACAAGCAGAAGGGCCCAAGTGAGGATGCTTCACTTGGGAAGGAGAATAAAATAATCACAGGAGGCAGAGAGAGGGAGAGACCTGGGTGGGAGAGAGGAGGGGGAGGAGAAAGGGGGAACATGATCAGGTATGGGGGTTGGGAGACAGGAGAGAGGCCCCTGAGGGCCAGCAGAATGAATATGCAACCTTAGGGGGTGGGAGGTGGGGGGACCCTCTAGAATGTTCCACAGACCTGGGAGATGAGGGACTCTCAGGACTCAGAGGGAGGGACCTTAGATGAAACACTCAACAGTGGGGGAGGGAACTTATAGAGCCTGCCTCCAGTAGAAAGACAGGGCATCAAGTGGAGGAATGGGGTTGCCATTCCACAGTCAAAAATTCTGACCCAGAATTGTTCTAGTATGAAAAAACTGCAGGGACAAAAATGGGGAAGAGATTGAGAAAAAGGCAGTGCAGTGACTGGCCCCACTTGGGATCCAGCTAAAGGGGAGACTCCAAGGCCTGACACTATTACTGATGCTATGGTGTGCTTACAGACAGAAGCCTAGCATGGCTGTCCTCTGAGAGGCCTAACAAGCAGCTGATTGAGACAGACACAGATACTTACACCCAACCACTGGACTAAAGTTGGGGACCTCTGTGGTTGAATTAGGGAAAGGCTGGAAGAAGCTGAGAAGAAGGGCAACCCCATAGGAAAACCAGCAGTCTCAACTAACCTGGACCCCTGAGATCTCTCAAGACACTAAGCCAACAACCAGACAGCATACATGAGCTGGTCGGAAGCTCCTGACATATATACAGTAGAGAACTACTTGGTCTGGCCTCAGTGGGAAAAGACACTCCTAACCCTAGAGGGAGTGGGGAGACCAGGGATTGGGGAGAGACATCCTCTTGGAGACAGGGGTTGGGGGTTAGGGGAGAAGGAATGGGATGAGGAACTGTGGGAGGGTGAAACGGAAGGGGGATAATGACTAGACTGTAAAAAAAAGTAACAACAACAACAACAATAATAATAAAGTGTTCTCAAACTTATAAAACTAACAGGTAATTTTTTAAAAAATAAGTTTTAAATATAAAATACATACAATTTAAAATTCATGAAAAATATTTAAAGTATTTAAAATTTTTCTCTCTACAAAAAAACCAAACACTCCTCCCAACAAGACAAATTAGACCTATATACAAAACTGTTTAAAAGCTTTAATTATATTTATTTCCTTTTTAATTCTTTACACTGATTTGTTCAGTGTGTATGTATTTGTATATTCGTGCATATGTAGATGCACACATATGCCATGGCACATGAATGGAGGTCAGAGAACAATCTGTGGGAGGTGGTTGATTCTCTCACCATGTTGGTCCTGGGAATTAAACTCAGATCATCAGGCTTGGCAGCAAGTGCCTTTATGCACTGAACCATTCAATACTGCTGGGCTCAAATTTAAACAAATACAGACACAGATACAGACACACATACACACACACAGACACAGACACACACACAGAGAGACACGCACAAGCACACGCACTTGCACACACACACATTTTTTATACTCCTGTGTCCTGGAACTCACTATGTAGACCAGGCTGGTTTCTAACTCACAAAGATCTGCCCGTCTCTCCCTCCAAGTGCTGGGATTAGAGGCATGCATTACCTTGCCTGGTCCCAAATTTTAATTCTTAAGCTTAGTTTGATTCAAATCTTGATACTTGTAGCTTTCTTAAAATAGCTGGTATTTATTTCTCCTTTTCATTTGGGTGCTGCTGTAATATTTCAGCATGAAGTCTGTAACACAGAGTTTATGATACATGCACAGGCAGGAAGAAAAGAAGATAGCTAACAACCTCCAAAATGAAATTTACATTTAATACTCAATTTCTTTGATTCTAACTTTCAAGGGATGACATATTACCCCAAATGCCATGTAATTCATCTTAAGAAGTGTTATCAGTCAGGCATGGCAAGGAATGCTTGTAATCCTGTACTTAAGAGGCTGAGTTAAGTGGATCAAGGACAGTCTTGGCTACACAGCAAACTCTTGTCTCAAAGATAGTTTTATTTAATCTAATAAAGTATGTGCCCGAAATATACAGTCAATTATAATAGTTTTAAAGAACTTAAAAAAATCAGCACATGTCTGCCCACATACATACCCCAAATCACAAAATCAAAAGCATGAGTTATATGAAGACCAGCATGGCACCCTGATGCTGGGTGACTGCTGAGAGCCAAATATAATTGAGAGGACCCTGCAATCTCTAAGTGAACGGAAGGCTTAACATCAAACTTTGACTAATAATGAAAAATAAATGTTAATTTTGATAAGTGCTAGGTTTTCTCTAGTAAGAAAAGCTCAGAGTAACTTTAGTATAGCACTTACATTTCTAATGTTATTAAATCAACATATCTTATGATCAGGGAGATGGTAAATATACTAGTGTAGCTTGTTCATCAAAAGTGAAAGCATCAACTGACTATCTGAGCACATAGTCACAGAGAGAAATGAACAGTGTGAAGCATTAAGATTCCTTTCCCTGCATAAATCTGGATCGAGAAACCATTAGTATTATATTGTACTGTATCTTAAGATTTCTTTTCTCTCCTTATCAAGTCTAATACTTGAGCACTAAGGCTCTTCTGCTATAAATTTCCTATTTATCTAAACGTTTCAGCTATAGTTAATCATTTTAGCCATTTTGTCCTGTCTTAAAACTGGGTTTCTATATCCAAGACTGGTCTGGAAGTCACTCTATAACTCAGGCTGGCCTTGAACTATAATCCTCCTGTTCCAGCCTCCCAAGCACAGGGATTACAGACCTGAGGCTCCATACCTGGCTTGTAGCTTCTTTAACTCTAAAATGGGTATCCATGTCACAAAGACAGATAAGATGATATACATAAAAGCTTTCCACCTAGTATTTGCCACATACTTGCAGTTTTAAATTAGAAATATTACTGTAATATAACCGTGTAAAAATTTTAAAATAAGTTAGACTTATTCATATTAAAAATTAAATTTCTAGCTGGGTGTGGTGATTTGAATAAAATGGCCCCCACAGACCAATAGGGATTAGCACTATGAGGAGGTGTGGTCTTGTTAGAGAAAGTGTCTCCACTGGAGGTGGGCTTTGAGGTTTCATATGCTCAAGCCAGGCCCAGTATAGCAATGTCTCTTTCTGCTGCCTGCTGATCCAGATGTAGAACTCTTAGCTACCTCTCCAGCACCATGTCTGCCTGTGTGCCACCACACAGATTAATAGTGGACAATTTCCCTAGGATATGCAAAGTTCTGGGTTTAATTCCTCAGCAATGCCTTCTTCCCCAAATAAATTATAGAAAAAGTTAGCATCATGAGTAGGCCTGTAATCCTAGCACAAGGAACATGGAGGTGGGAAGATCAGAAGCTCAAGGCCTTGTTGCAAAAAATACCAACCTTCTTTAAAAAAAAAAAAAAGGCTTAACTTTTCAAAAAATACTTATTGTTATTTTATGTGTATATGTGTGTGCCTGAGTGTCAGCATATGAACCACGTATGTGTGGGTACTCATGAAATCCATAACAGGGCATCAGATCCTCTGGAACTGGAGTTGCAGGTGGTTGTGATCTACCCAAATGTGGGTGCTAAGAATGGAACCCTCTTAAAAGCTTCTAGACTAATATTAGATTAGATTACTTTGGGTCCAGGAATTTTAAATATAACAAGCCTTATTTAAAAGCACCAGATGTGTCAGATCTCTTTGACTCAACCAGGCTTTACTATGATAGAAAAAAAAAATGTGTTGGTCCAGAGGCATTCTTTACTTTATATATAATCTTTTGAAAGTTTAATTTTACATCAGCTATTTGGAGGTTTGGATTTTTCTATAACAAGAGTGCTTTACACAGGATTAGATTTAATTCTAAAATGCAGAGTGCCTCACAAGCAGCTAAAAAACGAAACAACAGACAAGAAAAGTTACATCCGTTCTGCTTAGTCAAAGA